CAAATATCGTCGTTATCAAGCTCAGGTCCAATCGCGTCTGCTATATGCGGGAGAGATGTTCACGCTTGATGCTGAGGCGGTGCGAACCATACATGCTTTTGAGGGCATGTGTCTGCTGCGTATGTGGTGCCGTCGCAAGCCGTCTTCGCTAACATGGGGTGTCTGGCGCCCTGAGATGCTCCACAAGGTGCGACAGCATTTCGCTGAGGCCAATTTCCCATCAGCTGTACAGATGATTGCTTGGAAGAGCTGGACGATGATGAGAAGTATCAAGGAGTATATCTTGTCAGATTGTCACCGTCGACATGTTCAACGGCGTCAGAGCGCAAGTCCTGAGGAAGCCCCGAGTGCGAGGGAACACCTCAGGCAACGTCGCCAAATTTTGCAGGAGGCGTCAGGACGCAAGTCCTGGGGAAGCCCCGAATGCGAGGGAACACCCCAGGCACACGTCGCCACGCTTGGTGCTGATCCTGGGCCTTCCCAGAAGAGAGTACGCTTTGCTGATACACCCTCGCAATCTTTCGCGGGAGCCATCTCACAAGTTGTTGCTGAGAGTATTGCATTGAGTGATAGGCTGGAGGATGTTTCACAGGAGCTCGCCAGGCACATTGCGACCCAGGACGCCAGCTTCAACAGGCAGACCTTGAAAAGACGACGACTGCAGGGACTACGACAAGGGTTTGGTGGTGATTCTTTGGCTTCTGAGAATATTGATTCAGGGAGTGGGTCGGCGGCTCTACTGCCCACACTCTCCCTGCCAGGTCATGATATTGATCACTGCAGTCCTGATAACAGGGCTTTCGTGGACAGCAGAAGGGGATTGCTCATGTACAATGTTGAGTGGACTACGCGCAGGGACATTATGGCAGAATGTTGCCGACTACACGGGAACCGTACTCAGGCATCCACGATCAAGAGGTTGAGAGCTGGCCCAGAGAGAGTGGGCCAGCGTAGCTGGCAGTATCCATACATTCTTACATATGGCAGCTCCTGGTGGTCGAGTGTCGAGACGAGCTATCGTTCTTTCCTGGAGATGTGGCAGAATCTTTTGTGCATGTACGATAAACCAAAGGTATTCCTGTATTTTGTTCAGAACTGGAAGGGCACAGCGGCGTACTATACACCTCCCGAGATGGTGGGTGATACTGAGCGTGTACCGAGTGAGAAAGATGCACAAAAACTTGCTAAGAGGCTGGCGATTATCAACGAGAGGCAGACGGTGTGGGACATTGTAAGTCCAGGATTCGGGGTAGAAATCAAAGGGGATAGTTTACTTGTGAATAACTGGTTGACGGGACGATGGCGATGCGACAACAAACAATACCAGAGACGTGTGGACCGATGTATTAACGTTCTAGATCGAGCTGCGGGGGATCTGGGCATTCGAAGCTCTGGATTGGGGAAAGACTTATATAGGCATGAATTCAGGGAAGATAACACACGAGCTGATGAACTTACACATTTGGCCCGCGAGGGCCACTGCTTCTACAACCAATATGAGTACATGTTTAGCTTTGAGGACTTTCTACAACCTATCGCCTGTCGTGGTGGATACGATGGGGGAGTCTGCAGCAAAGGGACGGGGTGCGGCTTTTGGCTTCAAGTGGGTTTCATCAATCACAGATATGATTGTAATAAGAGTGTCTCGTGCTCTCCTCTCCCCTCCTCCTCCCCCTACTCCGTGTCCTCTAATATGCCTCTCGTTTGGAGGGATGTGTGCGAAGCCGCGTGGTGCCTAGAGGGTGCTACGATAACCGACGCCGAACTTAGTGCTGCTGAGGCGCTTACTAGCGCTGTTGTGCATTTGGCGCAGCAGATTCTGGCCGCCAGTTGACCCAGCTGGAGCATCGGTCCGAAAACCCAAAAACCAGGTTGAGGGTTCACCGCCGGCGCCAATTATTGATGAGCTAGAGGAATTCTGGCGCGGGGTGGAGCTAGTTGGTCGACCCAACCAGAACGGACAATGTGGTAACTTACCTCGTAGAGCTCTTCGGCATCGATGAGCTAGAGAATTCGGGCGCGGGGTGGAGCTAGTTGGTCGACCCGGCCCGGACGGACAATGTGATGACTTCGGGTTGGTTTTGCTAAAATTTGAAAGATATTTGATCATTCATTTTAAAAACAGCAGATTCCAACGATAAGTATCTGCGCATAAGCTCCGTTCTGAGAGCGGCTCAGCTCTCTCGAGGAAGTTTTGCTATCAGTTCACTTCCGGGAACCGACCGCACATGGACATCGAAAAATACAAAGATAAAGATTTTAAGAACATCTTCTGCGAAGTTCTCTGCTTCGCTTCTGAGCACTCTTACGCGTGCAAGGAGCTCTACGAGGTTCCCGGCGGTGATCAGGTTGAGGGTTCACCGCCGGCGCCAGTTGGGTCAGTTTTGCTAAGATTTGAAAGATACTCAACCATTCATTTTGAGAAGGCAGATTTTTACGCCGAGCATCTGCATATAAGCTTCGTTCTCAGAGAAGCTCGGCTCCACCGAGGGAGTTTTATTATCTGTTGACTTCCCGGGACTGAGCTCATATTGACATCAAGAATGCAAGAATTCAGATTTTAAGAAAATCTTCTGCGAAGTTCTCTGCTTCGATTCTGAGCACTCATTGTGCGTGCAAGGAGCTCTACGAGGTTCCCGGCGGTGACCAGGTTGACGCCTCACCGCTGGCGCCAGTGCCTCGTAGAGCTCTTCGTAATAGATGAGCTAGAGGAATTCCGGCGCAGGGTGGAGCTTGTTGGTCGACCCGACCAGAACGGACAATGTGGTCACTTTCGGTCGGTTTCGCTAAGATTTAATGGATATTTGACCATTTATTTGGAGAAAGCAGATTCTTACGCTGAACATCTGCATATAAGCTATGTTCTGAGAGCAGCTCAGCTCTGCCGAGGGAGTTGTTCGGTTCGCTTCCGGGACCCGACCCCATATTCACAGCAAAAAAATAAAAGTGAAGATTTTAAGAAAATCTTCATGTCAGTTCTTTGGCCGACCCGACCAGAAGGACAATGTGGTGACTTTGGGTCCGTTTTGCTAAGATTTGAAAGATAAGCGACCATTTATTTTAAGGAAGCAGATTTTTTGCACCTGTAGTGGGTTATGCCGCGTCTGCCAGTGCAATTCTCAGGTCCGTAGTTGCAATATTTGCCAAGATTTGAAATTTATTTGACAAGAAACATTTTTTTCGCACCTGTAGACGACTAAGAGGGCCTCTGCGTCTTCATATGAGTTCCGTAGGCGCACCTTTAGTATCGAAACACTTGGAGCAACGAACTTCATGTCGACATTTTTTTTTTGTTTTTCCGCCGGTGCCAGTCTCGACGGACCTTTTTCTGATTTTTGCTCGGTTGAAAATTATGGTCTCGAAATTTCTCAATTCGTTTGAGCTCTAGTATTTCTTCCCGTGCTATTCGATCTTATTCCCGCTCGCCGTCTCAATCTCAGCTCGATCGGATACCAATTACTGCCAGAAAGCAACTTGGCGGGATCGGCTGTTTCAAGTCATCTTCAAAAGTGCTGTCGGTTTTCTGTGCTTAACTCGAGCTGTAGGAGAGCTACCGAGCTGGTGCGCACACGTAATCGATTCAGAATCATCAGGCGCGTTTGTCTGAAACGTTCAGAGGTCTGAACTCGGTCTGCTACTCGAGCTAGGTCCGCGAAACTATTCGTATTCTACAGATTATTTTCGAGATTATGATGAGTTTCTTCACTTACCTCGTGCTGCAGATGAGCTTGAGAGCTCTTCGGCACAGCAATTGGACGGCATGATCAGGCGCCCTAGTCTGAAGTATTTAGATGCTTGAACTAGGTCTGTTATGAGCGCAGAAGCCGAACAACTAGTCATACTCTGGTATACTTCTGGTGATGGAATTGGTTTTCTTGACCTAACTCGAGCTGCAGATGAGTTCCAGAGCTCTTAGGCACAGCAATCAGAAGAGCGCGCTGTTTGAAAGTGCCTAGACGCCTGAAATCAGTCTGCTGTCAGCGCTCGGGCTGAACACCTATTCGTACTCGTCTAATTTCTTGGAGATGGTATTGGTTTTCTTGGTTTTACTCGAGCTGCAGATGAGCCACAGAGCTGTTCAGCACAGCAATGGGAAGGAATCATCAGCGGCGCTAGTCTGAAGTATCTAGACGCCTGGAATCAGTCTGCTATCAGCGCTTGGGCTGAAAAGCTATTCGTTCTCTGCTTATTCTTTCGAGATGGTATATGACAAGGAAGCTCTACGAGTCTCCCGGCGGTAACCGAGGTTGACGGCTTTCCGCCGGCGCCCAGTTGGCCGACCCGGCCCCGGCGGACAATGTGTCAACCTGTGGTCGGTTTTTCGAAGATTGTGAGGGATTTTGAAATTTCCGGGGAGCTCTCTGAGAGCTATAGGGTTTTAGATTGGGAGCCGGGCGGTGGTGGTGCCTGCCAGCAGCCCATCTTCGCCGCTCCAGAATCCCCGCAGAAAGTTGTTTGTCCCGGCAGCGGGTCCGGGAGCGATTCCGCGACGCGTCCACGCGTGCCTGCACGCGTGCAGGCGCGCGTGGAAGCGTGTTTGGCAGCGTTTGAGAAGCGCTTCAGAAGAGCTCCCAGAGCTCGCCAGGACACTTCCCAGAGTTGCCTCTTCTTTGCTCTCTGGGTTTTCGACACTACCAAGTACCTCGTAGAGCTCTTCGGCATCGATGAGCTAGAGGAATGCGGGCGCGGGGTGGAGCTAGTTGGCCCACCCGGCCCGGGCAGACAATGTGGTGACTTTCGATCGCTTTTGCTGAGATTTGAAAAATATTTGACAATTCATTTTGAGGAACAGATTTTTCGCACCTGTGGAAGACTATGAGGGCCTCTGCGTCTTCATATGAACTCCGTAGGCGCACTTGTACTATCAAAACACTTGGAGGAACCACCTTCATGTTGACGTAAACAAAAGAATCATTTTTTTGTTGATTTTTTCGGAAAATGCTTACAGAAGCTCTCTGCTTCTCCCCCAGCACTCTGGAGCGTGCAAGGAGCTCAACGAGGTTCCCGGCTCATGCACTGCCGGCTCAAGCTCCGCGTACGTTCATTTTCTCCTGCCTGGGGAACCTCCGCGAAGGTGAACGTTGAGCTAGCGTGGTGTTTTTGCTCTGCCTACGCAACTGCCCATCTCCCTGTACATCTTGCCTCCCTTTGTTGGCCTCTTATATTCATTCCTTGTTGCGGTGTGGTTGCGGCAATTTGTATTGTACCTTCACCTAGCGTGGAGATCCGCCGTGTGCGGGTGACTTATTCCTGAATTTGATTCTTGTTTCTCGTTGCACGAATCATGCCACATGTTCGTAGTTGTCACAGGCGAGCTGCACGAATATCTCGGGCCGTTTATTTGGGCTTCTGCAAGCCGCCATGTATTCCCGTTTGCTTGGACTCGTTGTTGCCAGAAACCGATACTTATACGATTCTCCTGACAGAATTGGCTGCTCCGCCTGGATTGGAGGGAGACTGCAGAGGGGGGATCCAGGAAGTGGGAGTGCAGACTTTGTCTTCTTTTTGCCGGACTGTGTGTGTCGATGTGCAAACGGAGACCCCCCCGACTCTTTGTCATACCCATTCCTATGAGAGTGCAGTTGGGAGTTCAACAGCAGTTGGGAGTTCAACATTTGGAAGTTCCGCAGTTGGTTTGACTTTGTGCCAGACCCATTCTTATGACAGTGCAGTTGGGAGTTCAACAGTTGGGAGTTCCGCTGCCGCCAGCGGGCAGGACGCCTGTGTACAAACTCAGCTCTCTTTAATGGACGCCTGTGTGCAAACAGAGAATCTTGTGTCTGGTATGCACAACGGTGCGGAAGTGGACGCTTCCACTGATTCCCCAAACGTTTCTTCAATGGATGCTGGCGTGCAAACTCAGTTCACTGGCAAGGGCGCCTGTGTGCAAACTCAGTTCACTTCAATGGATGCTGGCGTGCAAACTCAGTGGGTCTACGCCTTCATGAGCTCTACGCAAAGTCAGACGCCTGCGTGCAAGGAAGCTCTACGCCTTCGTGAGTCAGGTGGGAAGGATGTGCAGGCAGTGGTCTCATTATCTTCTGACACGTATGCAGCTCTTTCATATTCTTCTTCTTCTGATGTGAAGGCAGTGGTCTCATCTTCTTCCGATGTGAAGGCCAAGGGGGCTTCCACGTGCTCTCAGGCCACCATTGCCGATGTTAAGGCATGGATTGACGCTGCTGGCAGTATCAACGAGTCGAATGCGATCCAGTATTTAAAGAATGGAGTGGGTTTGTTTGCAGAACTTCTGACTGAAGGTGGGATCCCTGCAAAGGCCAGGGCAAATTATGCTGTGCGGAAGCGCGGGACGTTCGAGAATGTGCAAGCGACGTTGGAGGACCTTCTGGAATTCTCCGAGAGGCACAGATATCTTACAGGGCAGATGAACCGTGCCGAGGCTGCCAAGTTTCTACAGGATTCCAAGTGCGACGAATTCCGAATCCAATTCTATGGACGTCCGAGGAACGATACAACGTCGTCATGTGGAAGCACTGCCTGCAAAGGCAAAGGCAAAGGCAAAGGTAAAGGCGCCGACATAGGAGGTCAGGGGTTTGACGAAGTGTGTAGGTTCGGTAGGACGTTGACGGACTTTGAACGAAGGTGTAAATCTCAGGTTTGGCCTCTGCGGTAGTTTTTCGTCTTCTTCGAGTGATTCCTTTCAATCCGAACTTATTGTATTGGATTGTTGATTGAGTTTTCTTAGAACATAGTCTATGCATTTGTTTGAGCTCTTATAATTCAGTGTGTGCATGTTCAGTTCTTAGCCAGGTCTCCTGGCTCTATTGTCGTAATTTTTGTTTTCGCCTCTTCAGTGTTCTCACTGTTGTAGGGTTCTGATCCCTGATACAAGTTATCAGCGGCGGAGCGCATCTGCGATGTTCTCCCACAGGTTGTGCGAACGTCTTTGGTCTTGCATGTGTCTGTTTCTCTATGAGAGCGGACTGCTTGCTTGACAATTTTGAGGCTTCGCTTCGCCTGAGACTTCGTTGGACCTGGCCTCAGTGGCCAAGATGGTCCCAGCAAAGACGCAAAAAAGCCAGGTTGACGGTTTACCGCCGGTCCAGTACCTCGCAGAGCTCTTTGGCATGGATGAGCTAGAGGAATTCCGGCGCGGTGTGCAGCTAGTTGGCTGACCCGGCCCCAACGGACAATCAAGATTGCTGACCATTTTCTTGTATTCTCTTCTCTCTACAGAGCTGTTCAGCACAGCAATCGGAAGGGAATCATCAGGGGCGCTAGTATTTGAACGATATTTGACAATTTATTTTAAGAAGGCAGATTTTTTGCGCTGAGCATTGGCATAATCTTTGTTTTGAGATCAGCTCTGCTCTCCGAGGGAGTTTCACTATCGGTGCAATTCCCGGAACCGACCTCATATTGAGATCAAGAAATGCAAAAATGAAGATTTCAAGAACATCTTTTTGAAAGTTCTCTGCTTCGATTCTTCTAAGCACTCTTACGCAAGCAAGGAGCTCTACGAGGTTCCCAGCGGTGACCAGGAAAACCAATAATACCAATACCATCTCTAAGAAATTAGCAGAGTCGGAACAGTTGTTCAGCCGGAGCGCTGATAGCAGACGCAGTTCAGATTTCGAGACACTTGCAAATAGCGCACCTGATGATTCTCATCTGATTGCTGTGCCTGAGAACTCTGGAGCTGAACCGCACCTGGAGTTCAGTCAAGAAAACCAATTCGATCACCAGAAAAATAGCAGAGTGTGACTAGTGGTTCGGCGTCTGCGCTCATAACAGATCCAGGCCAAGCGTCTAGATACTTCAGATTAGCGCGCCTCGTGATTTTCTTCCGATTGCTGTGCTGAAGAGCTCTCAAGCTCATCTGCAGCTCGAGTTAAGTGAAGAAACTCACCATTATCTCGAAACAAATCGTTCGAATACGAATAGTTTCGCGCACGTAGCTCCGGTAGCAGACCGAGTTCAGACCTCTAGATGCTTCAGACGAACGCGCCTGGTGTTTCTGAATCGATTACGTGTGCGTACCAGCTCTGTAGCTCTCCTACAGCTCGAGTTAAGTACAGAAAACCGACAACACTTTTGAGTATGACTTGAAACAGCTGATCCCGCCCGCACGTTTTTTGGCAGTAGTAGGTATCCGATCGAGCTGCGATTGAAACGGCGAGCGGTAATGAGATCGAATATCACGGGAAAAATTTCAGAGCTCTAACGAATTGTTGAATTTCGAGAACATAATTTTCAACCGAGCAAAAATCACCAAAAGGTCCGTCGATATTTCTCCTGCCAACTAGCTCCCCAGCGCGCCGGAACTGGGATCGGGCGGTAAACCGTCAACCAGGGTGCCGCCGGAAGCCTCGTGGAGTTCTTTTCTCGCGCAGCGCTGCTCGTGTTTTTTTTTTTTTTTTTTTTTTTTTGTTTTTTTTTTTTTTTCTTCCCCCAAAGTTGGTTCCGCCAAGTGTTCTGATAGTAATACTGCGGCTACAGACCTGAGAATTGCACTGGCAGACGCGGCGTGACCCACTACAGGTGCGAAAAATCTGGTTTCTCAAATGAATTGTCAAATGTCTTTCAATTCTTTCCAAAACCGACCCAAAGTTACCACGTTGTCCTTCCTTGTCGGGTGGGCCAACTAGCTGCATCCCGCGCCGGAATTCCTCTAGCTCATCGATGCCGAAGAGCTCTACGAGGTATTACTCTTAAGCTTCCAGCAACTAGCTAAGGGAAGCTCTACGAGTTACTAGCCCTCCAGCGCGCCGGAATTACTCTTAAGCTTCCAGCAACTAGCTCAGGGAAGCTTTACGAGTTATTCCTTTAGCTCATCGATAACGAAGAGCTCTGCGAGGTATTGCTCTTCTAGCTTCGCCGCTAACGCTCTTAGGGAAGCTCTACGAGTCACTGGGCGCCGGCGAGTACGAAAAGTTTTTCAGCACGAGCGCTGATAGCAGACTGATTTCAGGCGTCTAGATACATTTAACTCGCGCCCCTGGCGATTCCCTTCGACTGCTGTGCTGAACAGCTCTGCGGCTCATTTGCAGTGCGAGTTTAACCAAGAAAACCAATGCGATCTCCAAGAAATTTGTAGAGTACGAATAGTTGTTCAGCCCGCGTGCTGATAGCAGACTTAGTTCGGGCGTCTAGATATTTTCAAATCGTGCGCCTGATGATTCTCTTCTCGTTGCTCTGCGTAAGAGCTCTGGAGCTCAGCTGCAGCTCGAGTAGTCAAGAAAACCAGTTCTATCACCAGACAAATAGCAGAGTATGGACAGTTGTTCAGTTCCTGCGCTGATAACAGACCGAATGCAAGCGTGTAGATACTTCAGACTAGCGCGCCTGATGATTTTCTTCCGATTGCTGTGCCGAAGAGCTCTCAAGCTGATCTGCAGCTCGAGTTAAGTGAAGAAACTCAGCATCATCTCCAACATAAATTCGGTAGAGTACGAATAGCGTCGAGGACCCAGCTCGAGTAGCAGACCGAGTTCAGACCTAGATGCTTCGAACGAACGTGCCTGATGATTCTGAATCGGTTACGTGTGCGTACCAGCTCTGTAGCTCTCCTACAGCTCGAGTTAAGTACAGAAAACCGGCATCACCTGTCAAGATGACTCGAAACAGCCGATCCCGCCTGAGTGCTTTTTGGCAGTAGTAGGTACCCGATTGAGCTGAGATTGAGACGGCGAGCGGTAATGAGATCGACTATCACGGTAAAAAATATTCGAGCTCTAACGAATTGTTGAATTTCGAGAACATAATTTTGAACCGAGCAAAAGTCACCAAAAGGTCCGTCGAGACTTGGTAGCGTCGAAAACCCGGAGAGCAAAGAGGTATTCACATCTTTTGTCCTCGAAAGCCCTGATAGCCAGGCAAGAGAAAACACGATGGCTATAACATCAAATAATCACGTACCACAATACAGAAGCAACTGGGCGCCAGCGGTATACCGTCAACCTTGGTTACCGCCGGGAGACTCGTAGAGCTTCCTTGCCATATACCATTTCAAAAGAATTAGCAGAGTACGAATAGTTTTTCAGCCCGAGCGCTGATAGCAGACTGATTTCAGGCGTCTAGATACATTCAACTAGCGCCCCTGATGATTCCCTTCCGATTGCTGTGCTGAACAGCCCTGTAGAGAGAACAGAGGACGAGAGAATGGTCTGCAATCTTAGGGAGCACTACACACTCGACCTGATCAGGCAAATCGGTTAAGACAAGATCGAGAATATTCACGCCCCGAGTCGGAGATCGGACACGTTCTTTGAAACCGTGCACAGAACACCAATTTTGCATGGCAATGCCCTCTGGACTCGTGATTCTGGAATAACGAAGCCATTGCAAATTATGCAACTTAAGATCTCCAATCAACACTGTACCTGCAGTTCAGGGGGGATGCTGACTTCGCTGTAGTGCGGCGGACGGTACCAGCCAGCAATCAGATCAGGACCACACTGAGAATGAAAGAACGCCCATAAAATCTCGGCCTGAGGCGAGCGAGGGAGGGGAGAAAACAGACTCGCGTAATAATCCAAGGCAAACATCTGAACTCCACCGCCGTGCGCGTTCCTGTCTCCACGATCGACAATCGTGTATCCGCTCACGCACGGAGCTGGACAAGACTGGTCAAGCTTACTTTCGTTAGTGAGGAGGCGGAGAGGAGGAGCAGGGAGAAGACGCAAACGAGCTTCCAGCTCGCTACGATGACTGCAACATCCATCGATATTCATGTGCAATATAGTGGGATGCTTCGAAACAACCGACAGTGAGGATCCGGATTTCCGCGGACCCCTGCCGGGAGGCGAATTCTGATTAAAAAACGACGTTATCAATCTCTGAGAGAAATCGACGCGACTGACACGCTCAAGGAAAGGAGGCGGAGGAGAAACAAGAGAACCAAGGGAAGACGGGGTAAGCGAACGCGAACAACAACTTATTGAAAGTAGCCGGCCTGAGCGCGGTCGAAAATCCGTTCTGAAAAATCGCCGGCCTAAGGCTCGTCGAAAATCCGCTCTGGGAAATCTCCGGCTTAAGGCGCGTCGAAAATCCGCTCTCCAAATTCGCCAGCCTAAGGCGCGTCGAAAATCCGCTCTGCGAATTTGCCGGCCCAAGGCTGGTCGAAAATTCGCTTTGAGAAAAACGAGACACGACGCGATCCGGAATCTCCTCCAGAGAGTCCTCTGCGTAAGAACGTCCGCGAACCTGGGACATCAGTGGCCGTCTCGAACGAGATGCTTCTGAACGGGGACCGCGTCTGCGACGACGTAAAAGGGGAGGCCGCTCACAATCCGCATGGCGGAGGGCGGTGCGAATGCCGTCTGATTCCAATGAAAACGACAAGAATCCGATGCCATGGTGTGGACTCACCTCCCCAAGCTCGTACTTCAGCTTCAAGTGCGTGAAAGGAGCTCGGGAGGATCCTTCAAGATCGCTCTGAGACTGCTCAAAAACAATCGAATCGCGGATCTTGTCTACTCGGGCTTTCCAATAAATCGTAACAGTTTCAGGTCCCATCTCTGCCAACTCCGAAGCCTTCCGGAGAGCCTAATCGCGATGGGCATTGATTTTGGTATTGGCTGGCTTCGTGCGGATCAAAACATTACCCTTTGTTCTGAAACTCGCGTTCTCCATCTTCTCTAAAAACCTCTTCAACAATTCCTCGGAAGGAAACTCAACGTACGAGGCCGGCCTCATGACTTGCTGGTTCCGGGCTCCTATCATGAAGTGATCCATTGTGTGATTGGGGATGTTGTCGAATTTGGCCAAATAAACATTCATTTCATCAATGTGCTCCTGTGCAGAAAATAATTTTGAAAATGCGCAGTTCTCTTGTGAGCAATGTCCAAATAGTTGAGAATCTGCATCTGAACCTTACCGAATGAAACGTTTCCCGAATCATCTGTCGAGTCACCGCTTGATTCGAATTTGGCTAATCGAGAACGAACATCTGTCATTTTCTCCTCGATCGGTTTCAATGATTCAGACACATACTGCTTTGCCGCCTTCATAATTGTAATCTCCGCACGCTGCACATCTGCTTTGCTCGCAACCTGCGTCTTCATCGCCATGTTCTCTATGATGAAATTCAATTTTCCATCTGCTGAAGCAGAGCGAGCTGGAAGAACTGGCGTAGTGTCCGGGGGAGCAGTCGCTCCCACGCCCGGGGCCGCAGCCTCGCCGGGGACCTGCCCGCGCCAGGGGAGGTCGGGCCACCGGAACTGCCACCCGAAGGGCCGGTTCCATCACCTGGAGGCAAAGGCCACGCAGGTGGAGCGCCAAGATTCTGCTGTGAGGGCTGCTGAATCTCCATTGAATCGTCAATTCCGCATTTCTTGGC